CCTGCCTTTGCCTTTCAGGAAGCAGCGTTTAGGAAAGGATCCTCTCTTAGGGGAGGACCAAGCATCGCTAAACTGCAATTCGTGTGCTTACACGAGGGCTAGACTTCCCTTACAAGCTCGGACACGTTTGGTGGGGGAGTGTCTGATTCGCATCGCCCTACCTGCTTTAAATGTGGTGCTTCCTTCTGCTATTTGTACCTTCACAGGGTTGGGAGCCAGATGTTAGGGATTGGTTAGGTTCCTTGGTCACTTCAGACACCAACAAACTTTGCCTGGGCTTCCAAAACGCAGCAGGGCCTGAGGGGTAACTTCACCCCTGTGCAGAGAGCCAGTACGTGGCCTAGACACAACTTAAATCTCTCCCGCAGCTAGCCCTGTTTTGAGGACTTAAGTGCAGAATAGGCCTGTGGGTGAGTTTCAGCCTATGTGTTTAAAAAAAAATACTCTCAGGGCTGAGTGACGGGCATAAAACCCCACCAAGATTGCCCTGTCCCCCATAGACACTCTCAGCATCGCAGTCTGGGCCATGTCTGTGGCCACTGTGTCACAGAATGCTTTGTCTGTGTGCACTGCGGCATGAGCACATGGGTTCTGTTCCTGGCTCTGGGAAGGGGTGTGTTTGGGCGGTGGGGAGAAGCAAGAGGCAGGACTCCTGGGTTATATTCCCAGCTATTAGAGGGGAGTGGGGTCTAGTGGCTAGAGCTGGGGAGGACTGGAACTGGAAGTCAGGACACCTGGGTTGCATTCCCATCAGGAAGCAGGTGCTTGGGGCGGCCAAGGGAGAGGGGCGGCACCTGTGGCAATTTGGGGGCGGCAGGTCTCTTACTCCCTCTAGGAGCGAAGGACCTGCCGCTGAACTGCCGCCGATCGCGGCTTTTTTTTTTTTTTTGCTTGGGGCAGCAGAAATGCTGGAGCTGGCCCTGATTCCCATCTCTGAGAGGGAGCGGGAATAAGTGGTTAGAGCAATAGGGGCGGCACTGGGAGGCAGGACTCCTGCATTCTCTTCCCAGCTCTGGAAGGGGAGTGTGCTTAGAGCCGGAGCCTGGAATATTGATTAGTGTCTCTTTATTTCTTCCCCTTGCAGACCCAATTAACGGGAGCCACAGACCATGAACTGGGGTGTCTTCGAAGGGCTCCTGAGTGGGGTGAACAAGTACTCCACGGCCTTCGGGCGCATCTGGCTCTCCCTGGTCTTCATCTTCCGGGTGCTGGTCTACGTGGTGGCGGCGGAGCGCGTGTGGAGCGATGACCACAAGGACTTCGACTGCAACACACGCCAGCCTGGCTGCTCCAATGTTTGCTTCGACCACTTCTTCCCCATCTCCCACATCCGCCTCTGGGCCCTGCAGCTCATCCTGGTCACCTGCCCCTCCCTGCTGGTGGTCATGCATGTGGCCTACCGAGAAGCCAGGGAGCAGAAGCACCGGGAGGTAGCGGGCGAGAACTGCCGCCGGCTCTACCCCAACCCCGGCAAGAAGCGGGGAGGGCTGTGGTGGACCTACCTGCTCAGCCTCATCTTTAAGGCTGCCGTGGACGTGGTTTTCCTCTACATCTTCCACCGGTTCTACAAGAACTACACCCTCCCCAGCGTGGTGAAGTGCGAGATCCCCCCGTGCCCCAACATCGTGGACTGCTTCATCTCCCGGCCCACGGAGAAGAACATCTTCACCCTCTTCATGGTGGTCACGGCCTGCCTCTGCATCCTGCTGAGCGTGGTGGAGGCCTGCTACCTGGTGGGGAAACGGTGCCGAGAGTCCCTGTTATCCAGAAGCGAGAGCAGCCGGAGGGAAACTAGGCAGTTCAGGAGTGTCGTTCATAACAAGGACTGTTCCCTCTCCTACGGCGAGCAGGACAGCCTTGAGCCGGGAGAGCAGGTTTTCCACGCAGCGGATTGCAAGCTAGTCACAGCTCCAAACATAGCCAGCTCCCAGATAGGAGAAGATGTTATCTCCTAAGCGGAGGGAAAGAGCTAGGGAGGCTGTCTCCGTGCAGAACGGCCCTCGTTCGAGACCTGCCTTCCTTGTTGGCCATGCCTTTAAACATCAGGAGCCAAGATCAGACCTGGTCTCTGCTGGCAGCTCTGCTCCCATCACACGCCCGGGTGTTAACGAGATTGGGTGCTCCCCTTGCATTGCATTGGTCTGGTGGAAATAAGTGGACTCAGACACTTCAGAGAAGAATGGCCTCTCTAGTCAAAGGGAAGATCTATAAGAACCACAGGCTGGAGAGAAGCAGGGGGAAGGAGAATGTTCAGAGGATGTTGTGAAGGCCAAGACTATAACAGGGTTCAAAAAAGAACTAGATGATAGGGCCATCAATGGCTATTAGCGAGGATGGGGATGGTGTCCCCAGACTCTGTTTGCCAGAAGCTGGCAATGAGTGACAGGGGATGGATCACTTGATGATTACCTGCTCTGTTCATTGCCTCTGGGGCACCTGGCACTGGCCACTGTCGGAAGACAGGATACTGGGCTAGATGGACCTTTGGTCTGACCCAGGATGGCCGTTCTTATGTTCTTAGTGCAAAGCCTAGAGTTGTAGGATTTAGACTTATGAGATTTGATGGGTTCTTGCACCAGCCGCTGCTGGAGACGGGACACTGGGATCGAAGGACCCATGCTCTGATCCAGCCTGGCAATTCCTGTGGTGAGAGATCATGCAGGATTGTGCCCTCCTGTGTTTTCCAGTGGCGTGCCCAGCCTAACTTTAAAGGCGTCCGTCGGAAGGTCAAGCCTCAGAGAGAGGAGTGGGATGTAAGGAACAAGCCAGACTTCTCAGCTGCCAGTGAGAATTTCTCAGCCAACAGAGCTAGTGCCACTGTGGAAACAGAGCCAGGCCCTTCTGTCTGTCCCTGAGTGACATGCCAAATGGTAGGGGGGCGTTGGAGAAACCCGGCCTGGCCGTGGGCGGGGCTGCCAAGTGGGTATTTTCTCTCCAAGCCTGCTAGGGGTGAGGTCTCCAAAGTGCCTCATTTCATGAACAGTCCTTCAGCTTTGCTTAACCCATCAGGACCAACTGGGAGTAGCAGAAGACACTAGAAAGAACAGGAGGCTTCCCAGTGAAAAGAATGCAGCGTTTTCCCATCTGCGGGAAATGACCAATAATCCATCCAGCCAGAGATTCAAGTCATGGAAACTAAACACTTGCTAGCGTCAGTGATGGGGAATCCATTCACCCTTAGGGAATTAAAGAGTTTTGCTGACGGGGGAGGAGGGTAAGGCGGTGGCCAAGGGGAAAGAAAAAAATCTCCTAGATTCACTGGTTTTCAAGGCCGTTATGATCATCCTGTCTGACCGCCTGCACAACACAGGTCAGAGAATTCCACCCAGCCATTCCAGCATCAAGCCCTTCACTTCCAGTGAGCTGGAGCCCATCTTCTAGAAAGGCATCCAGGCTTGATTTAAAGACTCCATGGGGCGGAGCATCCACCACATCCCTTGGTAGGAAGTTGTTCCATTGGGTAAGGTTCAAACATCTCCTTTCATTGATGGAGCAAGGGCAGCTGCGTGGGTGACCCTCTTCCTGTGGAGTGATTTGTCATCTAACATCCCATAGCATCCTTCAGGGAGTAGCTAGTGATGATAGAGCCAAAGCAGGAAACTGCATCCTGCTGCCCTAAATTCTCAGATATCTCACTCCCCCTCTTAAAAAGAAAATGATTTATTTGGCACTGGATGGCTGCTGTGTTCCACCCCAGAGATGGCAGCATTTCAGGGGTGATCCACCCCCAGAGGGTGGAATTCTATACACATTCCATGTTCACGGAGCTAAGGCAGCATATGTAACACTGATGACCTTCCACAAAACCATGCGGTGTGGACATGATACATATATTTTAAAAGCCCAACGCTAACAATTCATTTAGCCACTGCACTGCACTGTCCGTAGGCCGGCCCCTCAGCTGCTATGAATCCGCTCAGCTGCGCTGTAGAGAGTGGAGTTGTGCCCTTTTACACCCACTGCAGATCTGACCCCCGTATGTATTTCTCGCCTTGTGTACCCTTGCAACTAATAAAAATGTCTCTTTATAAGAAATGGGCTTTATTTCTGTTTCTCGTCCTTTGTTTTAGCTTAAAACCAATACAACGCTGTGGCATAAATGTTTGTGAATGGGATTTTTCAAAAGGTGCGCCCCAAATAAACCATTTTTACAGCGTTGAAGAGTTGCTTGCGGAGACAGGTGGAATAAACTCCCTAGTTCTTCAAAAGAACTTATCGCCCTTGGAAATATGGCCCTCTTTCATCTTCCTTTGAAGCAGCTGCAACTGGCCACTGTTGGGTATTGGAACCTGGACAACCTGTGGTCTGGCCATGCCTCTGTTCATGTGTGTGGCTTGGGAGAAGCCTTCTTGTAATATAACGCACGGAAAGCAATTTTCTAAACACTATTAAAAACAGGCCTTTACTTTTATAAAGAGCCAGGATTCACCTGCAAACAGTCACTGAATCAGAAAAAGAACAGCCTCTGGAAGCCAGCATCCTCATAGCTAATCATTTTTGATTAGCAGGGTGGGAGCTGAGAGTGGTTGGAGCAGAGGACAGGGGACCAGGAATCTCTTTTGGTTCCGTTTCCAGCTTCACTCGTAATTGATTATTACTTGCTGAGTGCTGGTGACCTGCCTGGCCCTGACTCTGCTACAGGACCTTGGGTGAGTCATTTCACCTCTCAAAGCCGTGGTCTTGTTGTCTGCAAAGTGGGGAGAGCACGAGTGGGGTTGCCGCTTTCGGGGATTCCTGCTTCCAAAGCAATTTTGCTCAGAAAGGCAAAGCATTATCCTTCTGCTCTCACACATTGCACAATGGCTCAAAGCCCAGATAAGGCCAAGCCCTTGTCTCTATGAAGTCCATGGCAAAACTCCCATGGAGCTCCATGGGCGCTGGCTATAATTCTGAGCTAACATGTCAGGTCCATTTTATTTTTCTGTGACTCTAGGTCTTTTTTTTTTTTTAAACCTTCTCTGAAGAAGGGCTGCTGAGCTTATTGGCGAAAGGGAGGCACGCCCAGCAGGTGTCCGCATCCCCGGTGCATCAGCAAAGGCAGCGAGAGCTTTCAGACTGTGCTGCAATGGAGTAGCTAGAGAGAGTTTATGGGCTTCTCTACCGTCAGGTAAGAGGCATGGAGAGAGCTCGCTTGGGCGAGAGGAAATACCCTGGGTGGGCGGGTGCAGTATGATTTAATGGAGCCTACATGCAGGATGAGAAACTTCACTGTTCTGCAAGCTGGCATAGCGTCTACTCTCCGGAGGCAAGTGCTGTGCATGGGGTGTGAATGTGTAACAGAGACATTCACGCAATGAGAGACACGGTATTACTGCTTACAACGTTTCCTGTTGCTAAAGCACTTTGACAGTGCTAAGTTACATTCCAGTGGTAATTTGTGACTGAGGTTCTGATCGATTCGGGAATTTATTAATGTGTTACACATGCACTAGACATTCAGGTATCAAAGCGAAGTGCATGGCATAAGAACCTATGTGGATAGATCGGTAGCTCCAGATATTGTGACTATGATAGATAGTATTGTCGACTTGCTAGAGGATACCCTGTATATTCCGGTGATTTCATGGAGGTGAGCTTTGTTGTTTATTTACTATGGAAAGCTATAATAAAATTACTGGTAGTATTTAATATTGATAGTGTAGAAGGGTCCCCAGCCCCAATTGGGACCAGGGCCCCATGTTCTAGGGGCTGCACCAACACTCATGAAGATACAGTCCCTGCCCTGAAGAGCTCAGAAGCTAAGAACGCTAGACATTATCACTAAGGGGCTATTTTCAAATGTTCAGAGCAAACTGCCAGTCCCCGCCAGTAGTGGCACCTACTTTTTCAGTAACACTGCAAATGTTTGGAATTGGATGGAAGGGAATGTCCACTGCAAAGCAGGGACCCAAACCCAAGGGAAATCCCTTGCCGAGTAATCTTATTGCATTACCAGAGCGTGTAGGAGCCCAACCAAAATCTGGTCCCTGTTGTGCTAAGCATAATACAGGTTCCAAAGAGCTTGTAGTCTACAAAGACAAGACAGCCTAAGGGTGGCAGGGGAAACAAGTACAGTGACGTCAAGTGACTTGCCAGAGGTCACACAGACAGTCAGTGGCAGAGGGGAGAATGGAATGCAGGTCTCCTAGCCCTGTACCCTAGCCCCTACATCAGGCTGCCCCTTCCCCCGATTGTTATCGCATAATTTTCCCTTTTTTTTTTTTTTACACACTGAATACACAGAGGGCCAGAGTCTGCCCCCCTTAGCTGGAACAGCACCTTGACTTCAATGGCCTGCTCAGAGTAAGGCACTACGAAATAGTGTACACTTAAAGACTCTTCCAGCAAACTCTTCCTCCCCTGTGGAGTGTCTTGACCAATCAGTGGCACTACCCATCTGAGCAAGGCCTGCTCAGGTGAGTAAAGGTTGACAGAGTCAGGCCAACAACTGGAGAAGTAAGTGACCCAGTGGACTGAAGAATCTATGAACAGAGCCCCATGGAAGCACATTAACATAACATCCCCATCTCGTTAATAAACAAAAATTGATAAAACAACAGCACTAAATGGCAAACCCTGACCTGGTTTCCTGCAGTAGTATGTTGTGTTCTGCAGCGACTCGGGCTGCACTGTAATTCCTGAGGATCTCAGTCCGTACCTGAACATTTTCTGGAATGAATAACCAACAATAATTCCACGGTAAGCGCACTCATCAGTAACATTAACATTGAACGTGACATTCAGTTTATTATTGGGTTTTCATTGTTATCTTGGGCCAAGATTTTCCTAAACCACTAGTCATTTAAGGAACGTCCATTTTGGGGAGGGTGGAGGGGGTCTGACTGTAGGTGCCTTTAAAAGGCCAGATTTTCACTTTTATTTCTGAAAGTCGAGTCTCTTTAAGGTGTCTGACGTTGGATCACCTGAACTCACTAATCCCTTTGGAAACTCTGGGCCTTTGAAACACACACGGAGAGGAAAGGTACTTTCTGAAAACTTTGCATCTCTTTAAGAGAATTTGGAGGGGAGGGAATTTCATCCCTGTGGCCTCCTGGTGTGAAACTCAACTCCGATTAAATCCCTGGTATGCAGCCGCTGTCACTCCCAGAGGCAATGCTCCTGGTGGTTTATGTTCTTTTCTTCAGACAACTGCACCCATTTTGCTCAGCATGGCCTTGTGGAAGACAGTGTGAGTTGGGAGGGAACAACTGATAATAGCAGACCATATGAAATGCATGCTGGGGAAAACAAGCACAGACTTGTGGGCTAAGGGTGAAATCCAGCCCGGTACAACGAGCCAGCAAAAGGACTAGCCACCACTCAAGTCCCATGCTCTGTTGTTTTAAGCAGAGGTTATAGGCAGAGGTCAGCGCACATGAGGGCTTACCTGGGATTTAAATGGGGCCTGAGCTTGGTGCTGCACGGGACTGAATTTCATCCTAGAGTACAGGAGGGCTGTGGTCTGCATGCTGGTCCCATTACAGACCGTGACTTGCTTTCCTGAGGCCATGGGCTTGCTCTCCAGCACCGTGCGTGGCTCCGATCAGTGCAGGCCATATGAGAACGCTGGTGTTACTCTGCACTGGCGGGGAGGCGAGAGCAGTGGTAACGGGGCTTATGGCAAATCCAGGGGTACATTGTTCCTTCAGACACAGCCCCGAGCAAGGCGTGTGTATTGGCGGCACCACCCCAAGAAGAGCCGGGGAGGGAATCCTAACTCAGAGACCCACCTGTGAGGCACAGTTCACCCCTGCCTCTCCCTTGCTCAGGGTGAGGGGCAGGAATTTACTGTTGGTCTCCACCCCTGGACTGTCTCCACTGCTGGCCAAGGGAGTAGGGGCTGGCGCCAAGGCCCCAGGAGATCCCAGGGATGTGTAGCTCCCACAGAGGGGATTCTTACTCCCATGTGCAGGCACACAGGGCTTGCTGCAGTCTAGCCCTCATGTAGCCCGTTCCACTCACTGCAGCTTGGTTGTCTCCGCTCCAGCTCCTGCTCTGCTAACCCCAAACGAGAGGATGAATTGGTCCTGGTTCCAGGACCTCCTGAGCGGGGTGAACAAGTACTCCACGGCCTTCGGGCGCATCTGGCTCTCCGTGGTCGTGGTCTTCCGCTTCCTGGTCTACGTGGTGGCGGCTGAGCGGGTGTGGAGTGACGACCAGAGGGACTTTGAGTGTAACACGCGCCAGCCCGGCTGCTCCAACGTCTGTTATGACCACTTCTTCCCCGTCTCCCACATCCGCCTCTGGGCCCTGCAGCTCATCCTGGTCACCTGCCCCTCCCTGCTGGTGGTCATGCACGTGGCCTACCGGGAGGCCAAGCAGAGGAAGCGCCGGGAGGCGGAGGGAGAGAACTGCCGCCGGCTCTACCCCGACCCCGGCAAGAAGCGGGGAGGGCTGTGGTGGACCTACCTGCTCAGCCTGGTCTTCAAAGTTGCTGTGGACGTGACTTTCCTCTACATCTTCCACCGGCTCTACGCCAATTTCAACCTGCCCCGCGTGGTGCGGTGCACTGAGGCCCCCTGCCCCAACACGGTCGACTGCTTCATCGCCAGGCCCACCGAGAAGAAACTCTTCACCTACTTCATGGTGGCCACCGCCACCCTGTGCATCCTTCTCAATCTCTGCGAGATGACCTACCTGGTCGCCAAGCGGTGCTGGGAACTCGCCGCCCGGCGCCAGGGCAGGGAGCAGTTGAGCAAGCCCACAGGCTGCCATCACTGTGCACAGCAGAAGAACCAGAGTCTTAGTACAACATCCTCAGGGCAGGCTCCATTCCGGTCTGTCCCTTTATACCGCGGGGAGGGTGCTGCTAGTGAAGGGAGAAGAGGCTCCTACCTCATCTCCGTGCATTCACAATCTCTCGCACAGACTCCATCCTCCAGTGCAAACTTCTCACCAGCTTCATTCCCTGCAGACCGACCGACAAAGCAATCAAAGGCTTATTAGAAACATTTCTCTAAGGGTTTTCAGTCCAGTGCCCATTGAAGGCAGGGTCACGCTGTGTATGAAAAGTACATTGACAAATAGCAGAGCCAGTCAGCACTTTCCAAATTTCTATTTTTTTTTTTCAACAACAAAAAAATTTAAAAGGGATGAAATTTGTGAGAAAATTTGCCTGTTTCTTGATCATCTTCAATAAATACTTTGCAAAGGGTTGATAAATGATTTGTAGATGTTCTAGGCATGTTATAGACAGAGTCATGTGTTTTTTAAGTGGACGTAAACACACTAGTGGAATGTGTCGTGGGTGGTTTGAAGCCATGTCTATAAGCAGCTGTTGGACTCAATAAAGGTCTGTAGACATTTTAATAAATGGTTCCTCGAGTGTCATAAATGATTATAAATAGACCTGGAATATAAAGTCCTTCTGTGACAATTTGGGAGCTCTTTCTATGTACAGCTTATGAACTCTGTTGAAATCATTAACATTCTTTGGACTGCAAACTCTATTTTGAATGTGGGGTTTGGTTGCCTTCTCTGTTGTCCTTTTACCTCCAAGATGGACTGGGATTCCAAGGGGTAGTGGCACAAAGCTAACAATAGAGGGATGTTAAACCTTGATGATACTATATTCACATAGAAGCACCCTAAACAAAAGGCTGGCTCCTACCCAGGAGAATTGGCTATCCAGGGAGAGGTCACCTGGTTACAAAGTCACCTGGTAGGGATCTGTGCTCACCTGTTGAGGCTGATCAAGAGGTCACCTGACAGAGATTATAAAAGGGCAGGAGCTGCTCTAGTCTGGCGCTTCAGCCATTTCCAACAGCTGAAGATGAGGGGAGCAGCTGCCAGAACTTGATGAAGTAGTGGAGAGCCCTGCCCACCTGAACACAGATGGCCCCCCAAGGGAAGGGTGAGCCGGAGTGAGGAGCATTGCATTCAGGAGGGGGGTTGTTTTCTAAATGATATGTGCTCTCTTGTGCTTTTGCTCTTTACTTAAGAGGTACTGAGTTACAAACCTTTTGCTACACCTGTGTCCATTTGCTTCTGCTGTCATGCATCTCTGTACCCCTGCGGGGCGTTCTGGGGACAGGCAAGAGCTGCTGGGGAGGCGTGGTGTAGATGGCATTAGTCTAAGGGCCTAGGCAATTGGACTGCAGGGGCTCAGTGCTCGAAGAGGTCTCAGGCATGAGAACCAAAGCCAGGAACAGTGTGTAACCTCTGCCATCCCCAGCAAGCTAAGGGCATATGGGGTTCAGCATTTAGATCCCCTTCCCAGCAGTCTGGGAAGTGTCCGGGGGTGACACCTTCCACTGTGTTCAATGGGGCATGGGGTTGGGCCCAGAGACCTAATCTGTTTTATGCAACTTTCAACACCGCACCTGCCAGATGGTTGCTGCCTCTCATAGGTTGTGTGAGATTCTCTGTATGCCTTGGCCTAGCCATGGGATTGGAAGTTGCTTCATGCACTGATGATGGTGCAAAGATACGGAGAGAGATGGGGACAGGGAGAGCTGGTAGGTGGAGATGGGACCCAGTGGGACAAAGGTAGGATGTTAATTGCGTGAAGCGCATGAGACTGACACCCAGCAACACAGCGTGAAGGTGATTGGATGGCAAGGTCACGTCACGTTGCTCAGCTTGTCCCCTGGGTGGAGGATGTGATCAGTTTTCCAGGAAGCCATAGTCACGTTTCTGTGTCTGAAATTTGCTTTCTCCAAGTAGCCAAATCCTCAGCTGGTGATAATGAGCGTAGCTCCATTGGCTTCAAGGGACAATTGAAACCAGTCGAGGATCTGGCCCATAAGCGCGAATACATTCTTTCCATGGGCGTTCCTGCTCATTTGCTAGAACAGTCATGGAAGGGGAATCGGCAGAGTTGGATTTGGTACCTTAGGTTCTTTTCCGGCCCTTCGCATCTCAGCCTCTCACAATCTTTTCAGTGTATTTATCCTCACAATACTCCTAGGAGGCAGGGCAGTTCTGTTATCCCCATTGTACATCTGGGCAACTGAGGCACAGAGAGACTAAGGCCCTTTGAGGATCTGGCCTTAAGAGACTTGCCCAAGGTCCCACAGCGAAAGCTGTAGCAGAGCAGAGACTTGAATCCTGGTTTGCCAAGCTCTAGGCTACTTCCCTTGCCATTGGATCATCCTTCCTCCAATGGAAACTGGGTCTCCCAATCTCTTAGGCAGCTTTGAAAATCTCAGTCTGAGTATTCTTATTCAAGCTAATATCATGGAAACATTGCTAATGTGCTAGCCCATGTCTAAGAGAGGCTCAGTATATACAAGTCCAGCTGAGCATCACCTGGAAATGTGATCTCCTTAAAGGCAACTCCTTTAAATATCAGCTGACATAAGTCACTCCCGAAATCAGCTTTACTATAACTTTAGGAAGTTGAGCGGGGGAGGGTTCTTGTGTTTGATTTAAATCATGAGACATTTTGACGTTTCCATTTCACAGGGTTTGAAACGGACCGTTTGGTTTGTTGGGAGTTGTTGGTTTTTTAAATCTGCATGGATTTTTTTCACTTCCGGTGTTATTGACAACACTGTCAAAATGATTATTGAAATTCTTTATTTACTGCCATATCAGGTTTTCGGTAAGAGCAAAATATCGCTAACAGTTTCAATTAAAAAGGTGAAAAATGTCTAAAAAGGCAGCTGTTTTGTGAAATTTTTTTTAAAGGGCTTTTAATTAAAAAATTTAGTGTTTGGAAAATGTTGACCGAATCTAATTCTAACTGAGCAAACTCTGCCCTTTGCCGAGCACTGAATCTCTCTGCCTGGCTGTTACCTGCTCTTACCTCAGAGCAGTTTGAAGTTTGCCTTTATGCTGGGAAATTAAGACAAACTGATGTATTTGTTGTTCTGTGGAGCTCCCCTTCTATTTCCAACATGCATGAACCTGTCCGTATTCGGGCAATGCCTGCAAAAGAAAAACATGCTCAGAAAGCCGTTTCTGTAAACAGCCAATTACTGGTATGTGAAATATCTCGTCTTGAGCCAGTTTTTCCATAGGCACCGAAACGCCTGCAAGCCGCAGCCTGTTGTGAGACGGGGTAACAGCAGTTCCCTCTTACAAGCAGCAGCTATAAACCAGAAAGTACAGTGAAGTAGTTGCCAAAGCGTGGATGAATGATAATGATGTTAAAGTCAGGTTGTTTTTGCTCGTCTCTTGTGGTGAATTTCTCCTGGCTGAGGATCCGATCTCTGGTGCATATTCTCCAACCAGCCCCGCACGGCGTGTGTGCAGGAGGGACAGGGCAGGATAGGCAATGGGGCCTTGACAGGCAGGAGAAGAGACCCAGGCCAAGGTTTTCAGATCTGACTAGTTGTTTTGCATGCCCAATTTAAGACACTCTTCAAGGGCCTGATTTTCAGAGGACGGGGGCTCAGCGCTTTCTGAATCTCAGGACAGGGCTTTGGAGCGGAGCCCGGAGCTGGAGCGCAGACCAGTAGGTTTTTGCCCGGAGCCGGAGCAGAGCAATTCAAAAATTTGATTGCTCCAAATCCCTGCCTCAGGACCTTTTAAGGTCTCTCAACTTGGGCACTGTTGCCTGACTCTCTTTAATGGTTAATCATAATTGTACTGATTGCGGGTTGATCCTGATTAATGAGCTGGGGATAACGGGGTTCTTGTCCCAGAATCAGGCTACACGGAACTACAACCAACGAGTTCAATATCGTGTAGGGACCCTCAGGGTGTACTGCGAGGAGCCTCGCACTGAGGGCAAAGCAAAGTCTTGGTGGTTTTCATTCAAACCGATAATAGAGACAGGAAAGCGCCAACCCACATAAACGGATAGGAATAATAGACTATGGGGGGTATCTGTGGTATCATTCCTTGCATATGTTCTTAGACTTGTAAACGTACACCCTTCCTTGAGGACCTAGTGGTGAGAGACAAAGGGCCAGCCCTGCCTCTGCATGCCAAATGAGTCTGATGGTCCAGGCTCCCCAATGCCCAAGACTGGTGGTAGTTAACAATAAAGCTGAAGGGTCAAATGATGGGAAGCTAACCCCCTCCATGTGGTGGTTAGGTCTATTATAGGGCCTGAGCGTGACCATGAATATTCATTCTAATGCCCAGCCTTCCATGTCCAACTCTAACTTCCTCATCCTCATAATACTGGGTGCACTTATTGTATAGGTTAACATATTAATGCCATTTAACTCAGTATCATCTACATCACCTATTGCTCAAACAAGTTGATGGTTAGATATCTGCCAACGATTGTCCTAAAATACCCACACCCAGGATCACTTCAGTGTTCCTGCAGTTAGAATCCTAGAATATCAGGGTTGGAAGGGACCTCAGGAGGTATCTAGTCCAGCCCCCTGCTCAAAGCAGGACCAATCCCCAACGAAATCATCCCAGTTGCCGGGTACCATTAGGTTCTAACTCTTGCTATTGAGCAAGCTATTCCTAGTTCCCCCAAATCCAAGGGTAACCGTCAGATTACCCTTGGATTTGGTCAGATGGCAAAGGTCACAGGCCTACTTGGCTTGGCTATACTTATGCTAACTTGCTTAAACTAATGTCTACAGGATACAGGCCTGTAGGTTCCTTGCATTACTGCTGAATAACTAGCTCTATGGACTACAAGCACCCAAAACCAATAGTCGCTTGATAATCTCGGCCCCAGAAATTTGCCCCTAATCTGTAAAACCCCTCTTGCTTCCGCTCCCTGTACGATTAGTTCTGTTACCCTCACTTGCCTCATCTACCGGTTGGGTCTTCTTGTCACAGGCCAGGTGGCCCTTTAAGGGACGTGGGGCCCAGCCTCGCCTGTGACTGATCGGCAGCCTCCCGACTGAGACCAATCAAGTGATGATAAAAGCCAGCAAGTGGCTGAGTTTGAGGGGAGCTGTGGGAAGCAGGTGAGTGCTTGGCTCAGGCTGGGGTGAAAGTCCTCTGGCTCCCTGCAGCCTGCTTTGGTCAAGGGAATAGCTTTGTTCTGGGATTACTTTATGAATCTTACAGTTAACAAATGAAGGGCCTGAACTGACGCTGTTTGTGGAGTTGGTCCTTCCTGGGTTGGGGGAGACCGAGCAGCCACTCACACTGCTCTTAGACTGTGAGCACTTCGGGGCAGGGACTGTTGTTTTCTATGCGTTTGTACAGCACCATGGCACCAGATGTTGCTGAGGCTCCTGGGTGCTCCCAGAATATGATTTATTCAGTCCTTTCTGTGCCTCATCTGTTCCCACGGACACTAGGGGCCTGGTTTTCTTCTCTGCGTCAGTGTCACGCCTCAAGAACGGACCTGCTTCTTACCCAGTCAGGTCTTTTACTGAAGTCCTGCTGGGGAGTGAGAATTTCAGCGGTTGCCCCAAGGAGCATTTCAGAACATCCAATTGTAC